GGGAGCCAGCAAGGCAGGCAGGGAAGCTTGGCTTCCTCTGTCACTGAAGCAAGCAAACCTCATGTTAGCTTCCAGCTGCCTGGCTGCCGGCCTCCATCTTGGCTCTCAGTTAATTTGCATATTGCCCTGATTAGCCAATGGGAAGGGTAGCGGTTGTACACCAATTACCATGTTTCCCTTTTATTAGATTAGATGAATAACAAACATTACATAAGCTCTTCTGGGTACAAGGCATTGTGCTAAGTCCTGGCACACAGGGACCATTAAGATATCCCAAAGTCCTCCCTAAAAGGAGATGTAGCATCCATGGGGAAGGAATAGGAGCTCCAGTTCACTGAGATGAGACAGTAAGATAAGAGAACTATCAAAAAGATGGACTGTAAAATATGTGTTTAATTGATTTTAACAGAAAGGAAAGGAGACGGGAAGAGAGAGAGAGAGCAAGAAGGAGAGAGAAACATTCATGTGAGAAAACATGTATTGGTTGCCCCCTTAGGCACCCAGACCAGAGATCAAACCAACACCAGGGATTTGATCTGACCAAGAATCGAACCGGCAACCTTTTGGTGCGTGGGATGATGATCAACCAACTGAGCTATACTGACCAAAAAGGTCAAAGAGGGACTCCTAATGAACCCTAAACCCAGGAAAGGTAGAATCAGAGGATTGTTAAAGTCAGGATTCCAGGTATTCAAGTTAATAAACCAGCTGGGTATAAGGAGAGCAGTTGAGAGCAATTTTGCCGTGAGGTGACCTAATTTCCCAAGAATTAGTTGGTTTGTGGCTAAAGGTGTAATTATTATGTTCTAGTTAGAAAAAACAGAGAAGAACATGGTAGAATCAATGCAATTCCTAGAAGTGGATCTGAGGTCGACTTCTACAGAAGACTGGAGGAAGAGGAATTCAAGCTTATTCTTAGGAACAATGTGGATTATTCTCAGAGAATATTTTCTAGTTTCCCTATAAATGTACATAGACTGTTATACAACAGGCATATGATGTTACATTGTGATAAAAAAAAAAAAACAATAACAACAACAACAACAAAGAAAACCTCTTTAGAACTTTTCCTCAAGCCACAGTCCTTATAACGGGCTGTAATGATTTCTTAACATCTTCCTGAAAAGAAGAATAAGCCCTAGCCAGTTTGGCACACTGAAGAGAGTGTCAGCCTGTGGACCAAAGAACTGTTTGATTCAGGTCAAGGGCATGTGCCTAAGTTCCAGGCTCCTCCCTGGCCAGGGCCCTGGTTGGGCCTCCTACAGCAGCCAATCAATAAATGTGTTTCTCTCACATTGATATTTCTCTCTGTCTTTTCCTCACTCTTCCACTCTCTCTAAAAATCAATGGAAAAAATATCCTGTTTTGAGGATTAAAAAATTAAATAAATAAAGTATTTTTTAAAAAAAAAAAAGAATAAGAAAGAGAGAATTGCTACCATCACCTCTCAAGAGTTTTCAGTCTAAACTGTAGAACTTACACTTCCCACGGGCAGTGTTTCACAGACACTCAAATAAACCCATAAATAAATATAATGCTTCTTCCTGGAGTATGAGTTTATCTCAATGATAGCTATTAAAATAGAATTAAACAAGTATAGATTATAACAAAATAGAAAACAAATTTCTTATGGACTTTTAAAATATATGTGTTAAGAAATGTGAAGATTTGAGAACTGAAATTTATTTGTGTTTGCAGCAGGTAATTTCTGACAATACCATTACTTCTTTGGAGAAAAATTTAAAGAACATTCACAGGCTTTAAAAACCATCATATCTTCCCCCACATATATAAAAATATATGTGAGTATTACCACATCAAATGATAATTTTTTGTGACTTTTCACAAAAATTTGAAACTGGTATTTATAATTCTGTTTTTCAAATGGTTTGTGAATGAGCAACTTATTTACTTTATGACTGGCTATGATTTCTTAGCAACCATCACACTTAATGAGAAATTCTTACAATGGGAGAAAAAACAGGACCTTCAATTTATTCTTAAGTGTGATGTAATTCATACAAATCCTAATTTAAAAAAAAAACAAATCTTACATTTTCATAGACATTAAATTAATTAGTAATCTTTATTTTGTAACTTTCTAAGTCAATAAAATTATTTTCATGTCAAATATTTTTACACCCTTAAAGATGCCACAGGTTCTAGTATTAAGCCTGTAGTATTACTCAACAGCCCTTGGAGTATGACTGTAAATCTAGAAAGATCAGAAATTTCAGGGTTCTGATGGTTTCATGGGAGGGCATATGAGAGAGCAAACTCATTCTTATCATCATTTGGAATTGATACACCTTGTCTGATTAATAACAATGATACACAAATTTGGCACACTGTTGAAGAATACCAAATTATACACTAAGAAAATGTTTGGTCATATTACAATACTGAAATAAATAACAGCTAAAAAAACTTCCATTAAGAACATCAATTATAATTTATAATAGAATCAAGTAAAAGCATGTTCTTGGGACTTGAGCAAAAAAGTGGTACATGATTGAAGAGGGAAGAGCCAGCCCTAAAAGAATATCAAGTATTCATACATGGCCACTGCTTCAGCACAGCTGCTGGCCTGCCATTCTCCTCATTTACCAAGCTGTTTACATTTACATGGTGCTTTTTAGTCTTCTAGTTTTGGGTGTGTTTTCTTTTTCTAGTTTTGTGGAAGACCTCATCAGAGTTTTATGGATTTGGATTCATTTAGGTCTCTTGTTCTTCAGTAGAGAAATATTGTCTTCTAATGTCAAAGGCAATTACAGAATCTCAGGCTCCCAAGATGGAACAGGACCTTAGGGTAACCAAGTCAACACCTCTCTGCCTGGGGCCAGAAACCCAGAGTTCAAAATCAGGAAGCAGAACCAGAGCTGTAGTAGCCAAAAGAGTCATTAGGTGGCAGTGGTGGGTAGAAATGTTGCCAACATCTTCCATGCAGTAATGGAGACCATGGTTCCTTGTAAGATGTGCCAGTGCTGTACAGGTTGTGGGGATAGTGTTGTTCAAAGAAGAGAGTCTGAGCTGCTGAGCCTGTCTAGAGTCTGTCCAAACACTCTGTGCTTAGATATTGAGACCAAGGACACCCCATTAGAAACAAGTGTCAAAGCAACAGTCTTAAAGCTCAGCCTCTGCTCGCAAGGATATCACAAAATAAAGATGTACCTATTGCCAATTTCCACAGGTGCCATTTCCAAGCTGTTATCCAATCACCTGTCTCCTTGTCAGTGTTTTCTACTGGTGTACACTCTACAGGAGGGCAGAGCCCATATTATTCACCTTGAATCACAGTGCCTGCCTCTCAGTAGACCCTCAATTTTTTAAAATTATTTTTTAGTGATTGACTTCATTTTCCTCTCAAGCCTTAAGTTTGTTCAATTATAGAATGAAAGAGTTGCCAACTCTAAAATATGGAATTCTTTAAGCATAAGAGAATATTTTCCTGTTTTACTAGCAAAAGTCTAGTGGAATTACAAAGACAAAGTTGTATAAATTTAGTTGATAGCAGAAGACACCTAGTGAAAGAAATAGTCGATAAGAAGAACTGTGACCCAATCTCTGGGATGTATCGTTTCTTAAGGCTCAGCATATAAGGAAAACCCTTAGACCGCCTTTAATTAAGGCCCTGGACTGATGCCACACAGGGGCTTCATATCCTACAAAGCCACTTGCTGGTGGAGATTGAAGGCCTCCCATCCCAGTCTGAAGAGGTAAAGGAAAATCTTTGCTTCTAACTTACAGAACTTGCACATCAATTCTGTAAGAACTTAGCTAAATTTTCTCAGGTTTATTGTAATCTTGAATCCCTAAAGCATCCAGAAACCAAAGCCCAGCCAGTACACACAATGGCCACCAGTGTCTAATATCTGCTCCCCCACTCACAACTTGCTCACTCATATATTCAATCCTAAATTTCCCCAAAAGAGGTAAAATGAACTTGGGAGAAAACAAGTATGATACAGAGTATTTGTGGTGCTGAAGTGAATCTGCCTAGGCCAAGGGCTTAGAGCCTCACATCTGGTCATCAAACTCACTGACACTTTACCTTCCATAGTCAAGCACTTAAGTGTCAGTCAGCTTTTTGTCAATGAAATATGTCCCCACTGTTCTTCAGACTAACTTTATCATCTGTCTCAAACCAATCTAATCTTCACAAGAATTAATATTCTCTTCTTCTCTCCACAGGCAATGTTTTGTATTCAAGAGATTCATCCAACTTTACACACAGGGACTTAACTTACAGTCCATGATAAGTAATTATGGTTTTAATTTCCAAACATGTAGCTTCACACTTTTATATATTCTAGGGCAATATCCCACAAAGTGAAGGCATAACACTCAAGGCATAATCCTTCCTTTATCTCTTTTCCTATTTTCTTCCCTTCAACCTGCCAGTGTACCTTCTTTTGATCTTGGATGTGTTCCACTTGGCTCTTAAAGAGAAATCAAAACTTTTTTTAAGTATAAATAGTAGAGAACATTAGAAGAAAACAGAACTAAAAGCATTCTTTTTGTTTCTTTCCTTGCTCTGCCACATTTAATGTCTGTTACTGGGGCATCCAGATGCCCTTCAGCAAATGGCTTCCCCAGGACTTTGGGAATTTTATCACAATTCGGGAATTCCTCCTAAACCTCCACTTGCTTCCAATCTCAGTAATCTCCCTTCATCCACACACATATAGACAATCCCAAAAGAAAGCTGCCTTCATTTTAAACTTTAGCATCTGGTTCATTTTTTCTTAGTTCATAAGTTGGGCCCATAGGCTTTATAGGGGGGAAAATGGTTTCATTGAAATAGCTAAATGTCTAGAAATAGTATGTATATATTTAAAAAAAAATACAGCAATAGATTATTCAGGGGTAAGAATCTTACAAAAATCTGGAAGAGTTCCTCCAGCTGAAGAGTTCCTCCTGGAGATGGGTTCCAGCTGTGTGCACTGGATCCCTTAGGTTCTGATTATATAGCGATCAAATGAACTGGGTGGGGAAACTAGTTCAAAAGAACCCTAATCCTGGCAGAGATAAGGAAACCAAGGACACTGCCCTTGGCAAACAAGGAAATTCACCTTTTTATTGGGAATGACTAGATCAAATATTTACCCACTGGAGTGGATTAAAGATTTGTTCAAAGAGACAATTTTTGATGTTGGTAAACATAGCCCTTGGTCCCAAAGCGGCCCTTTTTCTGATATCCATGGTACCTTACTCTTAACAATTACAGGTTTCATTGTTCACATACATGATATGGATCCGGAAGACATTGCTTCTGATCTATGGGCCAACTCCAACAACTGCCTTGGAAGAACCCCGCAAAGTAAATGTGGTCTCCCAGCAGAATGCTGTTCCCCTGCCCTGTCTATTTACCTACATAATTTGTTACATGAAAGGATGCCATGCCAATAAGTAGGTTATTCATAGATTTCACAGAACCAGGAAAGCACTTGTAGAGAAGGTTATGTGACAGCTGTTAGTACCCACTGCCCTTGATCTCAACCGCCCAGCTACTAACCCTCAGAACTGTCCTTGCCATATTTCCTGGGCTTCTCCTTACTTCATCCTCAGCTGTTCACAGGAGACTAACCAGGAGCCCCCGATATTCTGTTCCTTGTAGCACAGCTGCAAAACCGATTATCTCCACTGATAAGCATCACTCCTTAGATGGTTAATTGATCTCATTGTCTCTCCATTTGATAGAACCCCTTGAGATAAGAATAACTGTCTTATCATCTCTACAGTCTTAGTTTCTAAAATAGTGACTGACACTTAGGTCCAAAGTTCTTTTTATTATCCCTCCTGGTCTAAAAATGCATTCTCTGATCTCATTCTGGGGACCCCAACAATGCAAATTCTCCTGGCTTCTCTCAGGGCTCACCAGCACAACAACTGGGTTTGGCACTGGTTACCAACAAGGCAGGCAGAGTAAAAAGGCTTCCAAGATTCCCAGGAAAGCTCTGCTTCAGCTTACTAATAAATCCTTAACACCCACGGATATGCCTTCACTTTGAGAGATTAACTCTTTGAACAGCTGTCAGTGGATTACACATGCTTGGGCACTTGCTCTAGAGCAGTGGTTATCAACCTTCTGGCCCTTTAAATACAGTTCCTCATGTTGTGACCCAACCATAAAATTATTGTCGTTGCTACTTCATAACTGTAATGTTGCCAGTGTTATGAATTGAAATGTAAATATCTGATATGCAGGATGGTCTTAGGCAACCCCTGTGAAAGGTCATTCCACTGCCAAAGGGGTCAAGACCCACAGGTTGAGAACCGCTGTCCTAAATCCCCAGGGTCCTCCTCTTGTCTAACTTTTCAGTGAGCCAAAAGCAGTCCCCACTTGGCTCACTGTTGTCTCTCACACTTTGACCTAGCAGCCCAGCCTGGACTCACATCTGTTGCTGTGACTTCCTTTTCTGAGTTTATGCAGCCCAGTGTAGGGTCACTTCTGTTACTGTGATCTTGCTTTTTCTACCCAAAGCTCTTCGTTTGTATCACTGTCCTAACCTTTAATAAACATACTCTCAAAATCAGCTGGGCTTGTGACTTGAATTCTTTCCTGCATGAAGTCAAAAACCCACACATTCCCATCTTGCTGGCCCAGTCCTGTCCCTTTCTGGTGACATGGGCAGCCTGGAGAACCCAAAAAGGACAAACTACCCCTGCTTTTCAGTTGTGCTGGGACACAGGCCTGCCTGAGCTTCAATCCCACCCACCCACACACACCTGTCCTCTCCCTGCTTGCCTTCATCCCCTACCAAATCCTGAGCTAAAAGGAAAAAAGTTGGGGGTAATGAGAAGAGGACCAAGCAAACTGCCATCAACAGCTTTCCCTCAGTACTTGGTGCCTCAGGGTTACTGGAGCCTTTGGAGAGGAAGGGGCAGGCATGACTCTGACCAGAAAAATTGTTCTGCCAAACACCAAAGTTGAATGTCTTTTAGGAGCAAAGAGAGGTAACAGGATATGGAGTCCTTAGAGTGGGGTCTCTACTGGCACCTAGCAGAGTGCCCAAATCCTCACTGTCCTTTGTGGGCAGACAAGCTATTTGGGAGTGGGACCTACTTTAAATTAATCACATATCACTTTCTCAAGAGACACTGAGAAGTGAGTTTTAAAAAGTTATCAACCAGTCACTTGTTATTTTCTG